ACAGACAAGGTACGACTTGGACCCCAGATATCTGAATGAATAAGAGAGAAAGGGGCATCAGCTCGTTTATTGACTCGACTGGCAAAAGAGGAGCGTGTATGCTTCCCTTGTTGACATGACACACAATCTAAAGACTGAAGACCAGACAAAAGAGGAACCATTTTCTGCAACTTTGAAAGACTTGGATGACCAAGGCGACTGTGGATAAGTTGTGGAGATTCTGTGAGAGAGCATGCTACTGAAGGACGAGGCACATCCAGATAATAAAGCCCCCGTGACTCACGACCCACTCCAATCATTTTCCCCGTACCCGGATCCTGCACAGAAACAGAATGGTTAGAGAAAGTAATGGTGCAAGTGAGGGAGTGGATCAACTTACTAATAGAAATTAAGTTATAAGGGATGCCAGGAATGTAATAAACAGATGTCAGGGCCAAGGTAGAGGTCGGACGAGCTTGTCCAATCCCACGAACTGGGGTTTTGGTTCCATCCGCAAGGGTAAAAGATGGTAAATGATCAGAATAAGTAAGAGATGTAAAGAGTTCCTTATTACCACATAGATGATCGGTAGCACCGGAGTCAAATATCCAAGTGCCAAGTGATGTAGAATGAGAAACACAAGCAACAGGATTACCAGTATAAGGCTGAGACTGAGGAGAAGCCTTCCTGAGAGGGGTTTGGAGTGCAGCATAGTCCGAACCTGAACCAAATGATGTATTGTCTGACTGAGCTATATTTGCAACAATAGAAGGAGAGTTAACCTCCGAGAGATCAGGAGATGCTGCTGCCATTTAAAGATAAAATATAAAAGCCGTAAACGAAGGCAAACGATATCCAATCAAGAAGAACCACGCGTCTAAGGTCAGACCCACAGAGAAACAATCACAGATCCAGAAAGGGGAGGAGAAGGCGAGCTTCTCTGTCCAAGACCGGCCGGAAAAAGCCGCCAAAATAGTGCTCACGCGCCGGCAGAAGGTGGCGCGTGAAGCCCACGCGCAGAGAAGACAGGTGGCGCGTGACGGCGCGTGGGAGATGCGTTGCTGACCGGGTCACCACAGACCTGGTCGCCGGGAAGAGAGGGTCCTGATCGCGTGAAGTTTGGTCGGAAAAGTCGCCGGAAAAAGTCTCCGGTTGCCTGAACAGTGATTTTGACGGCGGGCGGTGGTTTCGGTGGCCGTCGGAGGTGCTGACGCGTTTGGAAAAATCACTCAGAGGCTGTTTACAGCCCTAGAAGGCTTGTCGGAAGGACGCACGGCAAGAAAGAGGACTCCTAAGTAGTGGGCTTAGGTTTTAAAGCAAAAAACAAGGTTTCTAAGCGGAAGCGAGGGTTCCCAGAACGAAAGAGCTCTGATACCATGTTAAATATCATAGATACAAGAGGAAATGATAGTAATCCTTGTTATATTAAACTACACAACATTGGTGCTATTATATAGCAAACCAATTGAAGAATACAAAGAGACACACTCAATGTGGGAGCACTGTCCATGTTGCTGATGGTCATTCCAGCACAATTGTCTTTGCCGATGATAATTCCGGCACTGTTTAGAAGTTCCTCTTGAGGGGGAGTACCGTCCATGTTGCTGATGGTCATTCCAGCACAATTGTCTCCGCTGATGTTAATTCCGACACCGAAGTTCCTCTTGAGGGGGAGCACTGTCCATGTTGCTGATGGTCATTCCAGCACAATTGTCTTTGCCGATGATAATTCCGGCACTGTTTAGAAGTTCCTCTTAAGGGGGAGCACTGTCCATGTTGCTGATGGTCATTCCAGCACAATTGTCTTTGCCGATGATAATTCTGGCATTGTTTAGAAGTTCCTCTTGAGGGGGAGTACCGTCCATGTTGCTGATGGTCATTCCAGCACAATTGTCTTTGCCGATGATCATTCCGGCATCTTCCATGTTGATGTTCATTTCGACGCCATTTTTAGCATATTGTTGATTTTTGGTTTCTCATTTAGGAGATTTATTTTGATGTTATGTTACTTGGTCTTTCTTGTAATAAGCTTGTAGCATAGTCAAGGGGAAACCACGGCTGTTCACCAACTGTTAAATGAAATGTCTGAGAGGGATCTTGATGCTGATGTCCTGGTCAGCTCAGTTGTCTTTGCCGATGATAATTCTGGCACCATCCATGCTCTGATGTCCATTCCAGCACTGTCTCTTTATCAGCTCTTCAGACTGATGGTCATTCCAGTTGATTTGTTGTACTTAGTCATTTAATTTCGTTGATGTAGCATTGTTGTTTTTGGTTCCTAATAGGAGTATTATTTATGTATCAAGCTTGTAGCATATGATCTATATGCTACAGCTTGAGGGGGAGTGTTAAAAGTGTTAGTGTTAATAGTGTAGAAGTCCCACATTGAGTGTGTCTCTTTGTATTCTTCAATTGGTTTGCTATATAATAGCACCAATGTTGTGTAGTTTAATATAACAAGGATTACTATCATTTCCTCTTGTATATATGATATTTAACAAAGTTGAATAAATCTTTGTATGGCCTGAAGCAGTCCCGTAGGATGTGGTACATGAAGTTCGACACTTATGTGGTAAAACTTGGCTTTGACCGCTGTGGTGCTAATCATTGTGTTTATGTGAAAAGTTTAGAAGGTGACTTTGTTATTCTAACTTTGTATGTGGACGACATGTTACTCGTTGGAAACAATTTGAAGATGATCAACACTGTGAAAGGACTGCTGGCAAAGTAGTTTGAAATGAAAGATCTAGGCATTGTAAATGTGATATTGGATATGCAGAATAAGAGGGAGCGTGACAAAGGAAGATTATGATTGAGTCAGCGAAAGTATATAGGGGATGTTTTGAAGAATTTCAAGATGACTAACTGCAAACCTATGTTGACTCCCATGTCTACTGGGTCTAAGTTATCGGCTGACCAGTGACCCAAGACTAGAGAAGAAGAAGAGGAGATGGCGTCAGTTCCTTATGCTAGTGCAGTTGAGAGTCTGATGTATGCCATGATTTGTACTCGGCCTGATATTGCTCAAGCAGTGAGAGTATAGAGCAGGTATATGTCCAAGCCATGAAAGGAGCAGTGGGCGGTGGTGAAACATGTGTTCCGTTATCTTCGTGGTATGTCTGACCTTGGGTTGTGCTATAAAGGCATGAAGGGCTCAAGGGGACAGACATTATTACAGCTGAGATGCTTTGTGGATGCTGATTGGGGAGGTGACGTTGACAGTAGAAGGTCTACAAGTGGATATGTTATTTCCTCATTAAGCGGAATTATCAGTTGGATGAGTAAGAGGTAGATCACTGTTGCTTTATCTACTACAGAGGCTGAGTACATAGCCTTGACATATGCTGTTAAGAAAGCTATTTGGTTGCGGAGGTTGAGCAAAGAGCTTAGCTTTGCGCAAGGAGATATGATCGTTGGGTGTGACAGTCAGAGCGCCATTTTCTTGTCTAAGAACCCTGATTTTCATGCAATGACCACGTATATTGGCATACAATATCATTTCATCAGAGAGAAGATTGAAGACAAGGTTGTATTGCTGGAAAAAGTTGACACAAAGGTCAACAATGCTGATTTTCTGACCAAGACAGTGACTTCAGAGAAGTTTGAATAGTCTACAACTGCATTGGGATTGAAGAAACATGCGAAGCATTCACCAAGTGGGAGAATGTCGGGTATGGCTCAAACTTCGCATGCTGATGAAGGCCCTTGTTGTCGGGATCAACAGAAAGACAACTAGGTACTGTTGTGAGCCTATGATTTATTGTAATTTTTTTTTCTTAGTAGTCTGAGCTTGGGCTCATGAATAACTGATGTTAGGATTTTTTAATCCTATGTATATTCTCCTTGTAAACTGAGTGACTTGTAAGGAATGAGGGTGACATGAATATAGTATAATAGACAAGCTGAACGTAGCCAATATCGGATGAACTAGGGTAAATCAATGTGTCAATTCTCTCTCTCTTTCTCTTTTTGTTTGTGATTTGTGTGTGATTGTTGATTTTCAACAAAATTGTCATCTCAATTCTTATCTTTATTGTTATTTCATTATTCCTCGCCATTTGTTTTCTCACTGCTCTTGATTTACTCTTCTTGTATTGTTTTCCCCAAGGTATTAATTCGCAAATATGATACAAACCCACATTTTGTGGTTAATTATGTTTTTGACCAATACATTATTCAATTGTTTGATTATTATTGATGATGGTAAAAATAACATTCAATATACAAGTGTGTCAACATGTATAACAAATAAGTTAGTCATGTTTATGTTGAAGGTTTGGACATAAATATTTATTTGTGTCGTGTTCAAAATAAATGTATTTATATCCGTGTTAGGTCTCAACTCTATATAAACACAATCCGTTGATATGAATTGGCATCCTATCATGTACATAATACTTATCAAACACTATTCATTTTGTTTATCATTGTTATTATATCTATCTTTGTTATATTACCTTTTATTTAGATTTAATATTAGAAGTAGTCAATGCTAGATAATATTTTAAAATTTAATTTTTTTTAAAATACTAATAAATCATAAGATGCTTAACTTAAATTGACATATTTTATATATCATAATAATATTTTAATATTCATATAATTTGTTTAAAATTATACATTATAAAACATCTATAATTTATATTTTTAAAATTTTATGATTAAACCATAAAATATGTCTAATATTATACATTTAATTTAAATATTGGATTAACTCGGTACTGATGGGTCAGTCCTACGAGTTACTAGCCATATATTCTGCGTCCAGATATAATGGTCAAAGTCAAAAATCATGCAAGGCCACCTGGCGCCCGAGCACTACTTTTTCTGCCCGCACTGAATCTTTCCCATTCCTACCGCCTTACTCACTCAAACTAGATGCTCGTTTTAATAACAATTTCTTATCCGAAAACTACGCGCGTTATTGCACGTCACACTCCCTCCACTCATTTCTCTTAATCAGAGCTGTTGATTATATTACGAAGCCACTTAGTCAACGGTCAAAAACGTTTCTAGCCAGTCCTCACTAGACGTGCATGGGACCGTAATGTCCCTCTGGCGCTTCTTTTCCCTCCTACGTATACAAGTGTTTTTTCATTCCAGAATTTTTGGGAAGTTAGTTAGTTGTAAACGAGGTCTCTGAAAAACGCGATTCTTCTCTCGGAAGATGAAGCATTTTGCATTGATTTCTACGGTTCGACGAGCTCTGATCAATGGCCGGAATTGTAACCTTCCCGGTTCGGCGGTGATGAGGCCACTTGAGGCGGTGGAATTTTGGCAACGTTGTGCGGCCGGCGGGAGCGGAAGATTCTTCCACTGGAAGAGGATGATGGCTTCTAAGGCAGTGCCGTTGCCGCCATCGGCGGGGAAGGCGGAAGCGAAGTCCACGGAGAAGGAGAAGGAGGAGGAGGAGGAGAGTTCGCGAACAGAGGCTGGGAAGAGAGACAGTAGCGTGGTGGTGTCGAGTTATTGGGGGATTTCGAGGCAGAAGATTAAGAGAGAGGACGGGACGGAGTGGCCTTGGAACTGTTTCATGGTGAGGACTTTGATTCCAATTATTAAGGTTTATGTGAAATTCTTTGCATTGATTAGTTTATCACAAATTCATAATTGTCGAAAATTTTTGTATGCGGATTTTGATGTTCTTTACGAGGGGAGGTGTTTGCTTATTGTTGTGTTAGTTTGAAATTTGATATCAAATCTTAATACTTGATTTTGTTAATCAATTGTTATTATTTATTAGAAATTAATAATTAATTAATAAATTTGATCGGCAGACATTGTAATCATTCATTGTCAGAAATTAATAACTAAAATTTAGTGTGAAATTTCAAATAAAAAATAACAGTTAGATAGCCGGAAATCAACGGTTGAGATGGGGAGTAAGACTTGTAAGTGTTACTCTAGAGTCAAAATATTCCTCCCCTATATATATATATATATACGATTTAATAAGTATAATGTTACGTGATGTAAGAAAATTTTTTTACACTCACAATAAAAAAGAGAGAGAAAGTAGAATGATAAAAGAGAAAAAAAAATATATGGACTCCACCTCTTAATTGTGTGTGTAGGAATATTTTCTTGTGTCATGTAATATTATACTAATAAAACCCATATATATATATATATATATATATATTAGAAATCTAGTGGTAATGGAACGATCGGGCTGTGATTTTATCTGAATGCTCACCGGCATGATTTCTTTTGTCTATGTAGCCGTGGGAAACTTATCAATCAAACTTGTCAATAGATCTGACTAAGCATCATGTGCCAAAGAATTTTCTGGATAAAGTTGCTTATAGGACAGTGAAACTCCTCAGAATTCCAACAGATGTGTTTTTCAAGGTGTGTAATATCTAACTTGATTTTCATTTCTCCTAAAGCATGATCCAAAACAAAGGGAAGAAAAAAAAACTGTTTATTCTTTCTGAATAAGGGGATGCTATAATTATATGTTCTTAAGTCATGTTGGTTTGTTGAGTTTCGTATGGCTCAACTCACATTTGATTTGATAATCAAAATTTGTGTCATTTGTACTCGAGTAAGATGTTTACTTTTTGTACCAAAATAATATCTACTTTTATTTTGGCTGGGTAAGATGCTATTTATTCATTTTCCGCTTATTCATGGAAATGTGCCATGGGTGTAGGATGTAACATGTAATATATATATATATATATATAGAGAGAGAGAGAGAGAGAGAGAGAGTAGATAATACTGCAGCTTCCTTGGAAAATTTTATCGAGATATTCTTCATGGAAATTGTGTCTACTCATTCATCACAATGCACACATTTTCAGAGACGATATGGTTGCCGAGCAATGATGCTTGAAACAGTTGCAGCTGTCCCTGGAATGGTAGGAGGGATGTTGTTGCACCTGAAGTCACTCCGTAAGTTTCAACCAAGTGGTGGTTGGATCAAAGCATTGCTTGAGGAAGCAGAGAATGAAAGAATGCACCTAATGACTATGGTGGAACTTGTGAATCCTAAATGGTATGAAAGACTGCTGGTTCTTACTGTGCAGGGAGTTTTCTTCAATGTGTTTTTTGTACTTTACACACTCTCCCCAAAGCTGGCTCATAGAATTGTCGGATATCTTGAGGAAGAGGCTATCCATTCTTACACAGAGTATTTGAAGGACATTGATAGTGGGGCAATTGAAAATGTTCCTGCTCCTGCCATTGCAATAGACTATTGGAGGCTTCCCAAGGATGCCAAATTGAAAGATGTTATAACAGTCATTCGTGCTGATGAGGCTCACCATCGGGATGTCAACCATTTTGCTTCCGTGAGTTTCATTTCTCACTTGTGTAATCATCTTTTTGTTTGTCTTACCAACCAATTCTTCATCAGGCACACCAACTTACCCCCTGAAATTGTTTGTGATATATTTGTTTTATTCTTCTTTATTTTCCATATTCTCTCAAGCTTCTTTACGTATATCAAATTATTTTTTCTTCGAAGATGAAGCATAAAAATTGTACATAATGGGAAACTTGGGATTGATATGAGGTAACACATGGACAATAATCTGACAGACAACCAGATGGCCATTCTGCCCCCAATTTCCTCGGGTCCTGCCTAGAATTTCAATATGAATGCTATGTGGCTGAAGAGCGTGCAAGAAGCTTTGGCAGCAGAAATATATGCTACTATGAGACATACATCTGTTGTCAGAGATAGTTAAATAGGTTATAGGTTGAACAGAGACCATCAAAGAGTACACATTTCATTGTTCACTTCACTACAGAATGAAGATTCTTTTAGTGGGACCTACGGACTGAAGATTTACTTATATTCGACTGTGTTATCAGCTATAACTTAAAAGGGAGAGGGTGCTTTAGAGACAGAGAAATTGTAACCCCGTAGTTAGACAATATATAATGTGTTAGATGCATTTTGTTGTTCTGATATGCTCTTTTGGCTTAGTTCTAGTACTGCTATATTTTGTGTAGAGAACATAGTTCAAAGAAAGTGGGTTGATTCATAGTCTGTTTTAAAATAAAGGTTAATTAATTTACCATGTTTGTTGTATCAAATGTGCCTTCATGTGGACATTGCTTTTGCAGTGGTTTTCCCTCCTTTTTTTTTTTTTTTTTTTTCACAATTATGTTCTTTTCATGCAGGATATCCACTTTCATGGTAAAGAACTGCGGGAGGCACCAGCTCCTCTTGGTTATCATTAGGTATGTACTGTGTCGAATATAAAATTACCCCTTTGGTGTGCATTTAGAAACCCATAGGTAGTAACTTTTAACTGATATGGAATTCCTATACTTCAATCATACATTTGGACAATAGTTATACTATGTATATGCTACTGATTCTATAATACGACTACGCCTCGTTTGGAAACCATGTTTAGTACGATGCCGTTACAATTTAGTTAAGCACTTCTTCTACAACTGGAATATTTGAGGAATTGGACACCGAATGATGGATTGTTTTTCGTTAGTATTTGGTGATCCGATCGACAAGTATACAATGTGAACTGTGATACAAAGAACTTATTGATTGATTATGCGTAGTTCGAAGTTGAAGTGAACATCGTCCCTAAAATACAATTAAAAATATAAAGCTAGCATTAATTTACCTCTCGAATAATCATTTCGTTCTTCATTCCTTTTCGTGTGCAGAACTATCTCTTGGTTAGAGAAAAAACTATTTCCAGTATGTTACCAACTTTTGGAAAGTATGTTATTCTTCCATTATCTAATTAACACAAGTTAACCAATAATTAAATCGTTGGCATAACAATGTTTTGAAAATTTTAGTACGCAAGAATCTTTTTCATTATATGAAAATAAAAAACTTGTGCAAAAACTTATACATTATTAATTTAACTTCTCGTTCTCTCAAAGGATGTTATAATTGTGATTCGCGCTGAACATGTGCTTCTGTGAGAGTCAATTTTGTCTCTTAGTGGACACGTTCATGAAACACTATTTAATTTTTGAGTAAATATCTTTTGGCTTACTCAAAAAAAAATACGATCTCCACTTTAATTCTTTACAAAAAGAAAATAGTCATCTGGTTCTATGAAATTTAGAGTGAACCTATTTTAGTCCTTTCAAAGGACTAATATAAACATTTTTTAAATTTGTGAAGAATCACGATTTTAACTAAATAGATTCTCTTTGAATTTCACAGGGACCAAAAGAATTTTTTATTAAGGATTCAAGAGGATATTTACTCTTAATTTTTTTTTTGCTTTTATTTTGTTTCACTTTGTTCAACATGCTCTGTTGTTCTTCGGGCAAGATACTCACCATCACGGAAAGGATAGGCCTGAGCTCCTATTGGTTATCACTTATCATTAAGTGACTGTTTCTGTTTTCTTGACAAAAAAAATGTGTGTCTTTTGTTGTCTGAACTTTTTATTTGTGCTCAAGGTTCAATAAAATGTCTTTCCAGTGTGATTTATGAAACTAGTAATTTTATCGATATCAAATGCATACATTGTTTTTAATGTATCACAAGAAATAAATAAAGTATTATTAACTAAAAAAATCAAACATATTTATAAAGTGGTCATGATTGAATGCAAGATGAATCGCATTGTCACCTAGTATTATATATAACGATTATTAAATTCATCACTAAACAAACTGCCTGATTACTTGTAATTTTCTTACCTAATCACGATCTAGCTGCCTTTTAATAAAGTTTTCACTGGACATAAAAATATTGGTTCACATTATGCTTTCCTCCAGCAACGAAGCACACATACATTGCCCTTCCCTCCAACGACAGGGAAGATGGATACTGATCTAGATAAAATATAGTAGTCTCGTTAAAGGCCCAAATACATGGAACGAAGCCCAACCTTACAAAGGACCGGAACCAGGCGCGATGGCTTCCATCACGCATAACACGATGCAATGCCTCCATCGCGCATGAAACCGCCCCTTAACATAACTTCATAGGTAAGGAAGCTGTCTTAGGAACTAATACAAGTGCGCCTTTGTACTAATAAACAGAGGACAACACCTATAATGACCCTAACTGATAAATCTTAGTTAGAGATTTAATTTAAGGATTTAAATGCCATAATTAGATTCAGTGAGCGATTTCGAGTATTTTGACTGTAATCATGACTATGTTATGAACAGTGCGTTCTGCCGGAGAATTTACAGTTTTGTGAATTAACCGGTAGAGCTTAAAATGAGCAAAATAATTTTAGGAACATAATTTGAAAATTCTGATGACAAATATGAGTTCAGAACGAAAAATTGTATAGTCTGGCACTTTCCGTGAAAATCTCGTGAATAGTGTTTCTACCGGGTATTTTGTACTGCTGTTTAAGCAACCGGTAGAGTCCAGAAATAAATAATTGATGAAATAAGAATAAGAAAGTCCAATATATGCCAAGCAAGTCAATATAGGCCCAAGAAAATGATAAGTTTATAAGTGTTAAGTTTTAAAAGTAAATAAAGTACAATTAGTGATTCACAGTGCATTTCGTCAAAAACGGTGCAGAAACCATACTGTGAATTATGAATATTGTTTTGTAACAGATAAAAAATTAATGTAAATGATTTTAGAAAAATAAAAATATGTTCGTAGTTTTAAGTTAGTTCCGGGTCAATTTAAGTTAAAATACGCGATAGAAAAACATCTGTTAAAAAAGGCCACATGTGCTCACCTTTTTAAGTCACTTAAGCCTCATTTCCAAATAAAATTCTCTCTCCTCTCCTCACTCCAAAACCGAGCTGCACCAGGAAAAAAGGGGGGGGGGGGTTAGGGTTTGTTTTTGATTTTGTTGATTCTCTTTGAATCTTCCACCAAATCTAATGACCCACCACATGAAATCGATTAGGAACTACTCAACGAATCCATTGCACCTATCCATTTGAGCTATAGTTGAGTGTGTGAAGAGTTATTCCTCCTCTCATTTTCGAGTTACTATTCATTGGAGGAGAAAAAGTGAGTTTTGATGAAGTTTGGCTTGGAGATTGCTCTCTAGGCTTTGTACAAGTGTTTAGAGGTAAGAAACCTCTACTTCCATGATATTATTTTGATGAATTAAGTCATGAAATCTATGAGCATGTGTGGGTAGGGAATAATTGATTTTAGAAATTGAAATTGATAATGGTTTGTTGTTGTTTAGGAAGTTATATGTTAAAGTAAGCATCAACATGTAATTAAAAAAATTGAAAAGCCCATGGTACTTCCCTCCCTAGGTTTCGGCCATGATGAGTCACATAGGGTGCATGGTGCAAAATTTTATTTGATATATTTAGAGTGTCTAATGTGTTGGAGTGAGTAGGAATTTGGTAAATTAGTGTGAAGGCCAAAGGGGGAAAAATCCTTTGTGTCTTGACTCCCTATGTTTCGGCTATGGAGAGTGGTGAGGGACTTGATGTCCCAACATTAAGTTGGAACAATATGGAAACATACATTTGTATGTGTAAGTTACATGTAATTAAAAAGAAAAGAGCCCTTGCCTATTCCTTATAGAGTTCGACCTATAGGGTATTTAGGGATATATTTTGTACATTTTATTTTAAATAAAATGTGTTGTAATAAATTGTATAAAAGTGATGAGTTTTGAAGAAAAGTAGCATGATTTATGTTGAAAATTCCTAAGGGAATGGTTGATTAAATTAAAGAACACCAACGGTTATAAAGGGGTCTAGACTTGTGTATTGGCATAGGATTGGCAAAAATGCAAAGAAAGGAAAATAAGCGATAAAATGTATGCTTATGAAATAATTATGGTATTGCATCATTTTATTGATGCATTGTAAATTATTCTCTAGGTGTGCCTAGGGATTGAGAAGGATCGGAAATCTCTTGAAGTGATAAAAGTAACTTGTTCCACAAGTAAGCGTATTGGTAAAGCTTCAAGAGGTAAGCTCTATGTTTAAGGAGTCTTTTCCTGCTTGAGTGCTCCACCATGGTTAGTGAACTATGGTTGGACTGTATGACTGTGATTTAGATGCTTTGTATAGATGCATTCATATAGAGTTATTTGATAACATGATATGTTTTGCTCTGATATGACTTCTGTAATATGATTTCTGTAACAATCTCTGGCCATTGATTGTATAGTACCCGGACGTCCGCTTTGGGGTCCTCCCTCGGGACTGATGGTGTACTCCTCTGATATGTCTGGTTCCGCTTTGGGGTCCTCCCTCGGGAACACGTGCGTTGATTTCCGCTTGGGGTCCTCCCTTGGGAATGACGGCGCACATCTCTGATATGATATGGATATATGCTCTGTTCTGTTATGATATCTGTTATATGTTGTATTTGTATACTCTGTATCTGAATTTCATGCAGGAGTGAGCCAGGGGTATGGAGAATTCTCTATAAACCTGGAGCTTATTGAGATTTGTAATCTCACCCCTCTTTGGGGACACATTTTCAGGGGCCCAGATTTCCGGTGAGTCCTCACTAGGCAGGGACACGACACGTGGCTGAGGCAGTTGACAGACCGGATTTTGAGTGGCTGTAGGCTACTACCTTTTTGGAGTGTTTGATGTATTTTAGTATTTTCGCATTTGATGGATCATGATATTGATCCTTTATTTTGTATATGGCCTGTATATGTTTTGTACATGTCTATCAGTTTGATGCATGTACATTTGAGTATTCAGGAACGTTATATGATGATGTAGTATTCAGATAGGTTTATGTTTTGATGGCATGCTGTTAGATTTAGTGGCACGGAGCCATGTTATGCATGCGCCCATGTATGGGTATTTGATTATATTTGGATATCTGGTATTTCTGAATTGATATGTTGTATAAACTGTTTATCAGGAAATGCTTCTGAGTGGGATTGGAAAATCCCCAGTTGTCCGATTTATAGAGGAAACTCTGCCCGATTTTCGTTTACGCCGAGTAAGAATTAAGTTAGAAAAAGAAAAAGTTAGCTCATATTTTTGTAAGTTAAGTCTTCCGCTGTTTCTGTTTGTATCATATGTATGTTAATTGAACCGGCTCGAGACGGGGATGTTACAACACCAGCTTACCACTACTCTATCAAGATAGCCTGTCATTAAAAGATAAGTCTATTAAAGCACTAGCCTAACCTGCAGCCCTTAAACGGCCAATTAGAGGCCATACTGCCATCACAATGCGGTATCAGAACTCCTATATAAACAAATGGTACATGTCCAGGTATGCTAATCTAATTCAGTAAGAATACACATACACTTGACATTAATACTGACTTGAGTGTCAGAGTGTCATTGCAGGTACCTCATCAGTTCGAATCATCGCGCTAAAGGAGAACCAAAGACCACAAACCCAGGAAGCAGATCATCCCAAAGGCCTTCTACATCCAAAAGAAAAAGTTAGCTCATATTTTTGTAAGTTAAGTCTTCCGCTGTTTCTGTTTGTATCATATGTATGTTAATTGAACCGGCTC